TGGCAGGGCTGCGGTCCCGCCTCACCCCATGCTGGCTCATGGTGGAGTCACAGCTCTCACTGCACCAACCACAGCCATCCGAGATGGTTACGATGGTGCCACTTGCAAGAGCCAGCCAGAGCCGCTCGGAGGGGGCTGCTTCAGTTGGCTCCTTGGGCTGGAGATGGAGCCCAGCCTGCTGAGAAGGTCTGGCAGGGCACCGGGAGCCAGCTGGGACTGCCCTTGAAGCCAGGCCTTTTGGATAAAACCGTTTTCCCATTAGTTTGCAACGAGCCATGAGCGCTGGCCTGATCTGGCAAGAGACTTTATCTAAAAAACTCATTCCATTTGAGTCTGAAACAGCAACTTCTGCTGTTCTAATGAACACTCATAAATAATTACGTCCTGTTGGTCCCAGAGCCAGTTCGTCCCCGGGCGGGAGCCAAGCCTGTCAGATGGGTCCTCCACTGCTGATCGCCTCTGGCCCACACGTACCCACCTCGTGGCTGTGTGCGGCGGGGCTGGGGGGCCCCCTGGCACCTGGGCTGGGTGCGGGGGGGCTGGGGGTCCCGCTGGCCACTGGCCTTGCAGCGGGGAGCAGCGTGGGAGAAACTGGCCTCCCCTGCTCGCATGTGAGGGTGCCCCACGGGGAAGGGGCTGCGGAAGCACTGTCTTATCTGCCCGTGTCACACCCAGCTTCACCCTGCGCTCTCCTTCCTGCCGTCCCCACCAAGAAGGAAGCGTAGAAGCCTTCTGCTCAAGAGGAGAGATCAAAGGCAGTACCAGAAAGTTTCTCTTTGCCTCCATTCAGAGGAAGAGATGTTGTTTTGTGCCAGTGGGGAAAGCAGAGCCTGAAGGCGATTAACCCCTTCCTGTAGCTCTAGCTCCCAGCAGAGCTACAGTTTCCGTACCCTGGATGCTGCACCTCTTGCAGCAGTTGTTGCACCCCTCGCTGGGGCAGTTGTTGTTCCCCGGCCCCTCACACTTCACCCTGAGTGCTGGAGCAGAGTAGCAGCTGCTGGGCATCCCCATGGTCCTGGTGTGACCCTGCCCTAATCCTGACATCCCCGGGCCAGAGACCTGCAGCGCTGCTGAACAGTTGCCCAAATCAGTTGGGCTGTGCCCAGCAGAAGGGTCCGGCCAGCACTGGGCAAGGGGGGGCTGGAGGTGCTGGGAGCAGAGCCTTGGGGGGCAGTGGGGAGCTGGTGGGGTGATGGCTGCCATGTCCTCGCAGGTGCATGGAGGCTCTGGTTGTGTACTGCTGGTCGGGGAAGGAGGAGGAGCCCTACGTCACCATAACCCGCAAGCGGCGGCTGCGGAAAGGCTATGAGGTGGAGATGGAGCAGGAGGTGGGCCACTCGGTGCGCCGGCTGGCCACGCACCGCAATGCCTTCAAGCGCATGGCGGTCATCCAGGCCTTCCTGGGCTCCACACCGCAGCTCACCCTCCAGCTCTACATCAGCGTCCTAGAGAAGTACGTCCCTGCCGCCCGAGGTAAGGGTCCCTGGCACGTGGGCTCCCCCGGGGCCGTGCAGGCGGGACACCCCC